TAGGCATCGAGATCCTGACATAGGATGGGATCCGAACCCTCGGCGGGAGCGCCACCACACTCCCAAGTGGCGCACTCTCCAGTGCGCCACCGGGCTGGCCCGTCATGAGGCTTTTCCATTCCAGGGATGGTTTTTTAAAAAAGATTCTGAGATTTTATTTTACTAAGTATTCATGATTTGCCTGTTACTTCTTTAACTGAGATGTAATGCGCTTACCTGTGGCTTCTTACTGATTTCACCCAAGGCCAGTATTTAAAAATATGTGTATTTTGAAAACATTCTTTCCTCTAAATCAGTCCTCTCTTCTTCTGTAATAAGTTCTAAGATGGTCCGAAGTTTACTATAAATGTGAAATTGCTTTCCAAAGGTTGCAGATGAGAATTATTCTGTGGTTCATGGGAAATCAAGAGAAAGCATTACCTCTCAAAGGAAAGTGAAATCCTTAAAAGAATTGACCACATCCTAATTTATTAATCTGCCCTGCTGGCCAGTTTAGCAGCAACAAAGGACTATAGTAAACAAACTGATAAGCTTTTGAATACTTCCTTTCTTCTTGTTTGCAAAGAGCAAGTGAAGGACTTTTCAGAGCTTTTTAGATAAATTACAGTCACACTGGGACAAATTGAGTTCTGAACCGTACCTGGGAGGGGAATCCCTGCAGTTCCTGAAGTTGTGTGTGAACGCTGAGGACATTCTTGTTGTCCTAATTCATTGTGTGTGGTATTAGGTGTTGAAAATGATGGCCACACTTGTTATCTCACTTGGCTCAGGTATGGCTCTGTCAGGTAAGCAGGATTTTAAGTCACTTCCATTTTTCACATGTAGTACAACTAATTTGGGGGGAGATGGAGTGACTTGGTTGTGTGACTCTTTCCCTAAACACTGCTAAAAACTTGCTTCTAGTTAAGTGGTGAAATTAGAGAGTCTTTGACTGCTACTCTACAGCTTTTCCCCCTGTATATCACTCTGGATAAAGGAGCATTTGTGCTCTCAGGTCATTTATCCAGTTCAGATGTTCATGCTTCTCCAAGGTCAGGTGAGGCTACAACGTCCATCTGGGCATTTGGTGAGATGGTCGGTTCTTTCAGAAACTAGATGGGCACATGGCAGGACCCCATCCCCACACCATTGCTGGTCTTACAACACTACTTCCTCTAATGAGTTTCATCCTTCGAAGGTCTATCCAGTGACCCATTTTTATTTGACTTTGCATGCTTTTGTTCTCAAATATCATACACCAAAAGAATTCTTTCTGGCTTCCCTCTGGTTGGAGTAGTTAATCACCTATTTTGTGTTTAATGTTAAAGATTGGAAATCTTTGCCATCAGGGACTGTCTTGCTGTGTATTAGATACTTTATTTGCATTATCTCATGTAATCCTCACAAGAACTCGGGAAGATAGCTACTATGTTCCTGTTGTAGGGATGGAGGGACCAAGGCACACAGAAGTGACAGACCTTGGTGACTATCTGATTTCATGCCTGTCCTCTGATCCCAGCAATACCTTCATTGCCTTTGTTGTCTTTGTATCCCTAGTGTCTTGTGTACTTCTAGCACATAGGAGGTACTTGGAAAATTATTTTCAAGAGCATGAGTGAATGGGTTTAACAAGAAAACACATCTTAAGTATTGTAGCATGTTTGTAATGAGATTATGATCTTGACTGGCTTCTGTGTTACTAGCACATCCAAGGTGAGTAAGCATTTCATTTGAAGTGTATCCATTGAAAACCCACCATTTTAATTCATTTCAAAGCATTTCTTCGCCTAGCTCAGTCAGAAAGGGTATTGTGGGCCTAAAGCTGCTGAGACAGGCAGGTGACTGCCACCTCTGACCTGGCCATTCCTGCCTGGAGCACCTTTGGCTTGATGAGGATGGCCTAAACTGTGCTCCCCCACCCCCCAAAGTAGTGCTGAGGCACATACCCACATCCAAAAGCCTTCATTAGGCCAAGTGTAGCTAAAAATCTTAGTATCACAGTTCAGTGATGTTGGTTTCTTTAAGCTTAAATGCTAAAGTGGTGATTGTCTAGTAAGAATGTACTTTAGGGAATCAGGATTGTGAGCCTGGAAATAAGCCTGAAGAGGGACCTGGAGAAGCTTCTTGTTGTCATGAAAGCCATTGGTATGTGAGATTGTGAATCTTCAAAACTTAACTGTGAGCAGTGGGGGGAAATGCTCAAAAAGAATATTGGCATCTGAAGAGAATTCTCTGGTTTCACCCAGTCCAGCCACTTAGTTTTAAAGATGAAATGAGTGGTTGAGTGGTCTGGCACTTCTCATTCTTACTATGAGTTTCCAGGTGCCATTCTACTTAGTAACTTTTAACCAGAGGTGTTGGAGAATTTTGTACCTCTATACACACATGCACATGACATGCACACACACCTCCCCAGACGTGTGGTCCCGTTCCCTTTCTAGTCACATACTCAGAAAACTGTTCTGTTGCCCACAAGCTTCAAAACAAGTCTGTTGCCATAAAATGAGTGCAGTCATGCCAGTGTGCTTGTGATGTAGTCAGTGAGATATATATTCTTAATTTCTTGCTTTCTGGGTTTTTGTTTGTTTCTTTGTTTGGCAGCTGGCTGGTGTGGGGATCCGAACCCTCAGACTTTGGTGTTATAACATCACACTCTCTCTGGCTTTAGGTGCCCAGTCCGTAGTCTTCATTGTGGCCACTCTTCCAGTAGGTTGTCATTCTTAAGCATTGTAACGACTCTTGAAGAATGCAAATTCTTCATATTTCACAGATATTTGTCCCAGTGACATCTTTCTATTTATGTAAATTTCCACAGTTTTTCAAGCAGAGAGGCTAGTGTTTGATCTTTTCTCATATGGGAAGGGTAAGAGGTGGTTCTTTCTAGAATCTGTTGGTCAGTACTTTCCAGTCCCTACTCAATTGGATTTGGTAATACAAGGGATAACACAGATTTTGCCACTGCCATGTATTAGGGTAGCTATACTGACTTTGACTATACATTAGAATTCCAGGGAAGCTTTGAAAAGTATTGATGTCTGCACCTAACTCCCAGAGGTTCTTACTTAATTGGTCTGTGGTATAGCCTGGGAGTTAGGATTTTTTAAAAACTTTCCAGATGATTCTAATGTACAACCAAGGCTACCGAACCACTGGTGTAAAACAAAGCAGAAGAAGCGGCAGCTGGTGGACAGAAATGTTGGCCTATGAGCCCCATGAATTTTATGGCCATTTGAATTTATAGGTAGGGGGCCTGTTGTTTTCCCATCTTATAAGTATAAAAGCAGCTGCCTTCTTTGCCCTTCTGCCTCCCTTGCTAGAACATGTCCTGATTTAAAATAGATTGTTTAAATTGTAAAGTAAAGCTATAGCTTTAGAGGGGCCAGCCCGTGCTTTTGGAGAGTGTGGTGCTGATAACACCAAGGCCATGGGTTCGGTTTAAAAGAAAAAAAAAAAAAAAGCTATAGCCTTCGATATTCAGCAAGCTTGTGTTTTTTCTCTCAGCAGTTCTCTCATTCAGTAAGTACATGCTTTAAAAGAGTAAGAAATTGAAGTTCAGGACCCCTGGGGAGAGTATGCAGTGTAAGCTGCCCATTTGTAGGTAGCTGGAGGAGGAGAAAAATTAGGACTCCTCTTAGTAACTGTGCACGGTTTTACCAGGTCATGAGCAATTAATTTCCTCTGCCTCTTTCACTTCTTTAAAAGGTTTCTACTGCTACTAAGAAAGTAGATTTTATTTCATTAAAATTTTTATTTAAATAATTTAAAATTAGAAATGAGGAAACTAGGGTTTTGTTTCCCTCCAAGGTGTAGGGCAAGGTTATGGAGGACTTTCACTCTGGAGTTGTGCGTTTGAGGGTTTAAGAAAAAAAAAATAAGTGGTGTTTTATTTCATGCTGGTTGCTACCAGGATTATATCAGTGTTTGAAGGAAGTAGGAAGGATTTTTTTATGTCTTCAAACACCAAATAGTAGAATCATTAAAGTTTGTAATGTCTTGTCTCCCCCCCCCCCCCCCCCCATAAGACCTAAGACGGAAACATCAAGACTAGCTTAGCTATACAGGCTGATGGGATTGAATACTAATTATAAATGCTAAAATAGTTGGCTAAAAGAGGTGAGAATAGTTGTTTTAGAGAATAAGAAATGGGAGAAGGGGGACTGCTGGTTTTTTAAACTATGTTTAATTACAGTTGACTATAAACTGAGTATACATAAGCCTATAATACCAATAAGAATAGGAATGCTGGTTAAAATAGTATCGTCTGGTTAACATTATTGATGGGTTTAAATTTGTAGCTATAGTGACCTGCTTTCACCAAATTGACATCTAAGAAAAACACTTCTTTGGTAGGTATCTGAGAATTGCAGGATTGATTTCATGTACCAGTCTGAGTTGCCTTTTTCCCCTTACCTCCCTAGATTATCCTCTTGACTTGAACCACAATGAAACCTTCCTACAAACCACAACATTTCTTCCTGAAGACTTCACCTACTTTGCAAACCATACCTGCCCTGAAAGGCTCCCTTCCATGAGTGAGTAGAGCTCTAGCTTATCTTCCTCTGCTTTTAAAACAGATTTTGTAGTTGTTTTTTTTTTTTTTTTTTTAATTAAAATAAAAGGGAGAGTGCTCTTTTTTTTTTTTTTTTTTTTTTTTTGTCTTTTGTCTTTTTCCGTGTCCGGCAACGGATCGCAACCCTCAGTGTTGCCCCCGTACTGGACCGGGGACCGGCAACGGGATTGCAACCCTCCGCGCCTCGCTCAGCCAGTGAGCGGGAACCGGTCTGTATGTGGGATCCGAACCCTCGGGCAGGAGCGCCGCCGCACTTCCCAAGCGGCGCACTATCCAGTGCGCCACCAGGCCGGCCCCGGGAGAGTGCTCTTGATCTCTCTACCTATGTAGAGAATGTAAACACTTCCCTGCCATTGGAAACAGGGTTTGTGAAAGTCATTTGTGCTCCTGGCTGCTCATCAGCACAGCTTCCTGTAAGGTTGCCTGTGTTTTTTGGTGCTGTTTTCTACCTTTTCTGTATTTTCACTCTTTCTTTTGTACATGTCCCTCTTTTGTAACTTGGGGTTTGTTAGGGTATCCTACAGAAAGTATAGGCAACCAGCTTTGCCTTTTTAATATAAATCTTCTACTTGTTTCATATTAGGGAAGTCAGTTTCTTAACAAAGTGCTGGTTAAAAATATTCTTGGATTTTTTTCTTTCTTTTATGGGATCCCACATGTAATCTAAAACAATGACAGTAAACTTATACCTTCTCTGTACTTTTGAGTTTTTAGATAGTTCCACTCTTTTAAAAAGTTTTTTTTGTTTTTTTTTTAAAGAAATGTGCAGGAAAAGGAGAATCTTATGTTTGCAGAGTTGACTTTTATGCTCAATCATAGTGAAAATAGAGGAAGTGTTAGAAATAGTCATGCACGGTATTTGGATATACTTTCATCCATACATGAATAATTAATTATGCGTATTAAGTTGTGTTAGAAGCTTTGCTGTTTCATTTGCATGTCTCACCACATGAAATATACAGGTCTTCCCTTTAAAATCTGTTTGTCTGCATTTACACGTAAGCTTAGTTTGGGAAGACTAGGAAATAGGCTGTTGACAAACCAAAAACTAATGTTATCAAGCCATCTTTTTTTAAAGCATTTTTTGATTTTTTTTTTTTTTTTAAGTTCCACTTTTTTTTCTTTTTATCTGCTGGCCAGTATGGAAATCCGAACCCTTGACTTTGGTGTTACTGGCATCCTGCTCTGACCTAGTTTCATTTCTTGAGCTAAGTCAGACGTGGCTAGTGTTCTGAGTTTGGACATGATCAGTCAGGGCCCTCAACTCACTGGCGAATGAATGGAGAGAGACAGTGTATCTGTACTTGCTTCAGGAGGAAACTGACATGGTGCCAGGCTTGGCTGCCTTTTTCCTTCTCCTATGTGAAGTTCAGCTGCTGTTTTACGTGAAGTCTTGAATTCTTGCTACACCGTTGGTAAAAGCAGAACTCTAAAGTCTTAAGTCCTTGATTTGCTTCATTACTCAGATGGCAGTGATGAACTGAAGTGCAGTGAGATAGAAAGCACAGCCAGAGACTCCTGTCCCTGTTAAAAACACAGTCTGCTGAAGAAGCACCAAACTTCTTCAGAGAATAAAACCCTGGACACAGGGAAAAGAATCTGTCATTTTCTAGCCTCCTAATCTTTTTTTTCCCCTCTCTGATTAGAGGGCCCAATAGACATAAACATGAGTGAAATCGGAATGGATTACATTCATGAAATCTTCTCCAAAGACCCAGCCATCAAGCTTGGAGGTCACTGGAAGCCTTCTGACTGCATGCCTCGATGGAAGGTAGGGTGTGAAGTCGGACTCGAAGTGCTGTGAAACCCACCTGGGATTTGCCATTGTTCTGAATCAACATGGCATTCACTAAGTATGAATTTTGTAATTTGACCCTGCCCCCTGCCTCTGTGCAAAGTATTTGCATTTCATAGAACTTTTTGGAGGAATGGGTTTCCCCAAGGACTCTCCTCTAGGCACAGAAATTTTCTTCGTTCTGATGACTGAGCAAAACCCTTTGTCTTTCTAACAGAAATATTAGCAAATCAGGAGGGTAGGGAGGTTGGTAGGTCTCTAGTGACATATTTGCAGAAGTCATCTCCACAAAGTCAGTACATTATGCCTATTCTCCATTGGTTACTGTAAGATTAGTGAAATAAAAAGCAATTAGCTAGCTGAGATTTGTTTAGTGTTTTTCTGTGTGACCATAGTCAGGAGACATCAGTAGTGTGGATCAAGCTTATGACACCAGCTTAACCTCATTCTTTCAACAAGTATTTATTAAAGTGTGTATTCTGTGTTAGCCCTGTCAGATACTGGTGGTATAGCGGCAATCATACATGTGAGGCTACTTCAAAAAGTTCATGGAAAGGTAGAATTAAAAAATAATACAAATCTTTCCATGAACTTTTAGACCCCTTTGTGTGTGTGTGTGTGTGTGCACATCGCACATTATAAGAGGAAGTTCTGTTTTGTGAAGCTTATTTTAATTGTATTTTTATATATCTATAGATGTATTTGAGCAGAATGTATATCTTCCTATGGGTTGTGGTCTAGAATGAATTCATTCAACAGGCCTTCTATTCTTACACACAAAGTATGGTGTGTGTAAGAATAAAAGATCCATTTAGTTCCCAGGGTCAACTTGCCAATGTAGGTCTTATTCAGAGGAAGTTGAGAACAAGACAGCCAGCCTCCAAGAACTCCCTGAGGGTTGGTCATCAATTTTGCAGGGGTGTCCTGCTGTGAAGCAAAAGTTCAGGGACTGAGTGGCTTCTTTTGCTGTGATACACTCCAGGTGGCGATCCTTATCCCCTTCCGGAACCGCCATGAGCACCTCCCAGTCCTGCTCAGACACCTGATTCCCATGCTTCAGCGCCAGCGCCTGCGGTTTGCATTTTATGTGGTTGAGCAAGTGAGTGGTCCTTTTTGTTTCTTCTGAGACAGCAATTCAGAATGCTGCAGGCTAATCCATCTTTGGTGTGAAGAGCCAGTAAAACAAATCTGAGGATTGAGTTGAACTGAGGTGGGAACGGGAGCTGAGAGCCATTCTGTGCTCCTGGTTTGAGATGTTGCCCAGTACTGGCAAATTTGAGTCCAGGAGGGAGCTTTGTTTGCTTGTGAACAAAGGCCTCTTGTATGGTGGTTTTGCCTGCTTTGGGTGGTGTCTTCAGGCTTCAGACCCAACTCCTTATCTCCTTAAGAAAAGGAGTTGCGTCAGGGTCCAGAACAGAGGACATGGCCTTGGAGTCAGGAGACCTCAGTGCTTGTCCCATTTCTGCTATTAACTAACCGTGTGGTCTTGGGCATTCTGAGACTTCTGTAAGCCTCAGGATTTGGTTTTGTTTTACTTTTAAAAGTATTGGGATTGGGGCCAGCCCGGTGGCGCACTGGATGGTGCGCCGCTTGGGAAGCGTGGCGGGCACTCCCGCCCGAGGGTTCGGAGCCCACATACAGACCGGTTCCCGCTCACTGGCTGAGCGAGGCG